TAATCTACTTTCTGTCCATTTATTTGTGAGAAAAGGGGAGGTTCATACAAATGGAATCATATAGTAAGTACTTACAAATTCGTGCTAACATTAATCCAAAGGCAAATCAAACAAAGTTGACTTCACACAAAGTAGACATCAAAACAAAGAAGAACCAGGAGATACGGTCATTTCATCATGATAAAAGATCAATCCAGTAAGAGGAAATAATCATCCTAAATATGCATGAATCTAATAGTTTCAATATATACAAAACTAAAACTGATCAATCCTAATTGAAAAACAAAAAACTAATATACAATTACAGTTGGGAAATTTCAACACCTTTCTCTATATAATGGGCAAAACAAGTGCACAGAAAGTTAGTAAGGATACAGGAGACTTGAACAATCAACCTACCTTATATTTATAAAACACAACAACAATATACACATTAGTTTCAAGTTCACCTGGAACATTTATCAAGACTGACTATATTCTGGGCCATAAAACCATAAACTTAAAAGGAGTGAAATCATACAAAGTATATTCTCTGATTCTAATGGGATTAAAATGGAAATCAGTAATAGAAAGATAGCTAGAAAACCTCCAAATATTTGGAAACTAGACATTATACTTCAGAAGTCTAAGACTAAATCGCAAGGAAAATTAGAAAATATTTTGAATAACATCTGCCTTCCTCCATTTATTCCTTTTTGGAAATTCACCACCAAACTGGGGGACTGCATACCAATAAAATTGTAAACATTGTTAGGTTTTCGAGTAAGACTCTTGCTGTAGAGTGGATAGCTGTGATTGCTGAGTCAACTGCCTCTGGCTTCCAGTTACACCAAGATTGTAACAGCATTTTTACGTTTTATACAACAAATAAGCTTTGTAAATAACATTTTAACATGTAAAAAAGAAAAGAAAAAGGAAATATTATGAACAGAATGAAAATTATTTTGGAAATTTCTATCCTGAAACCAGTAACTTGAAAGCTCCCTAATACTTAAGTCCTTCTGATGAGAATGTAATATTAGCAAGCCATTTTTTTTTTTTATGATGAAGCATACAGAAATGTGTCAATAGCTGAAGACCTACATAACTCAATAAACCAATATTTTCCATATGGCTGATGAACAGTATTATAAAAGCTCCATTCTATACAAGAGAGACCAATGGAGTTTGAGAGTGCAACAAGTTCAGTGATTATGGGTTCAGACTCTACTGCAACAAACAAATCTTTTGAGAAACTACTCCTTGTTAAGTTTGGCAGAGTATTTTTTAAAATCCACAACTATCTAAAAAGGCTGCTAAAAAACTATTTTCAGCTGCATATGCATGAGGTAAGATATTCTTCATATACTTCAAATAAACCAATAAATTACAAAAGACTGAATAAAGAAACAGAAGAATCCAGCTGTCTTCTATTAAAGCAGAAATTAAAAAGACTTACAAAAATGTAAAATAATACCACTCCTCTCAGAACTTACAAGTCTGAATATAGTTATTTTCATTAAAATGTTACTTATGTTCACATATGAGTTTATTTAAAATGAATTAATAAATACATTGATCAGTTTTAATGTTTAACTACCTACCATGACAGACAGAAGAATACTTGAAACAATAAGTAATAAGATTAAGTGGCCAAATGAGTTATAGCAGTAAAAGTAAAATGGTAAACAACTTTGGTACCTGATGTAAGAAGACTTGGTACTCATAAAACTCTGAGCTAAAAAATAAAATAATCTCAATAGATTTGGTTTTTCATAGCAGATTTGTCTGTTCGAATCCGGAGACTTAATCACCATAATGTAGCAGACAGAAAACTCATTCAACTAAAAAGATCAGATTTTATAAGGGCTCAATTAGAATTCCAGCACAATGCCAAAAGACTGTTTTTATGTCCACACTTAATGGACTGGACACGTGTATACCCAGTGCTGTTATGCCTGGGCTGAGATAGATAACTGATGGGGTCGGATCAGAGATACATCCAAGGCAGAGTGAGCCTAGACTGAGCATAAATGGAATTCCTTAATTCTGGCTGTAGAGTTCCCACAGAACTGAATGTATTTAGACCCTCTGGAGGCAGTGAAGCAGAGAAGCAGTTAAAGGCTGCAGGGCAGACAGCTCGGGTTACTCTTTTCTTAGTTGTATATTTTCAAAAGCTTTTTCACTTAACCACTTTGTGCCTCATTTTTCTTAAAATAAGGATACTTATTAAATCATAGGGTTACTGTGAGGATTATAAATGTAAAGTACTTAGAAAAGCATCAATTATAAGTACTTGATAAGTATAACTATTACACAACATTTTGCCTGAAATTTAGAGTGAAAAAGTACTAATCTAATCTACAGATTGAGTGGGGGATGTAAGAAATAATAATGAAATACTCTAAAAGTTAACTATGATATTTAAAAGGTCCAGGGTTAAACATCCATAAAGCGATCACAATAAGGTTGTAAGAAAAAAATTACCTCAAAATTATCATTTAAAAATGAGTAAAGAGTAGATTTGGTATAGACTTTGGATTCAGAAAGCATCTACGAAATGTTTTTAAAACTGATGGATTTCTTTCATGGTTATGAGAATAAAAATATATCCTCACCTAACAATTATGAAACAGGTGAGATAATTTTCATTTTTTAAATAAAAAGCAAAAAATAAGCATTTAAAAATTTAATAAAGAAATCTACAAAGTATTAACAATTGTATCATAGTAATTATGTAAACATCAGCATCTACACCTTGATTCAAAGTGAAAAAAACAAAACAAAGCGCAGGTTGCATTAAAAACTTCTCACGAGTCCAAGGCCTACAGCCTATGTGAGAGGGAAGTCCAGAGAGGGAGTGGTGGTAACGGGCAGGAGGGGGAGGAGAGGGGGGTGAATAGCTGGCAGTGATGGCTAAGACTTCTCTCCACAAAGGATGGGCAGGGTAAAGGACTCTGGAGCCTTGACCTGATTGTGGGCAAGGCAAAGTCATCCTAACAGCTTCCAGGACTACTCCCATTCATGGCCAGGCCTAAGACACCCACCCAGAAATCAGAGGAGGGAGTTTGCAAAATCAATCCACAAAATAAACTGGCAGTCTGCAACAGAAAACACTTAAAAGAAAAGAGGATATTGTAGCCTGCAAACTCTGCTGTCAATTATGTCAACACATGGCAAAGAACTTCCACATTCTTACTTTTGCAAGTACGCCCACGCTTCTGCAGGACTTCTACAACCAAATGCAATAATAAAGTGGGAACCAGCACCTGACCCAGGCCTTAATTTGCCTAAACCCTCAGAACAGGGAGAGATGGAAGCAGCAGCTTGGAATGCTTCTTCATGGAATCAGCTCTGTACCTCCATCTCACCAGAATGAATGAAAACTTCTATGTAGGTCAGAGGAAATGAAGTGTTATACATAATCTGTGCTTCTAATACACTCCAAACCAGCTTGGGAGCTGTTTAAAGGCACAGGAGAAAGTGCATAGGAAATTTGATGAGTAGAAAACCAGTGAGAAGGCTGCTCATGTGTGTGTGTGTGCCAAACATTTCGCTTCTCTTGAACAAATCTTTTTGGCTAGAGTGGAAAAAATACTCAACACCCACAGTGAACCTCTTTTGAGAGAAAAATGACAGTGAGGAAAAATGGTACCAGGGAATTTCTCAAGAATAAATTATTACAGTGATTAAAAGGAATGTGTTGACTTACCTGGAAAATATCTGTCTTGTCTTCAAATAGACTGACAACATATTTATAGTCAGCATAAGCCCAGAATTTGGAATAATCATAATCTATAAATGGTCCAGAAGTACTAGAGTGGTCACAGTTCCAGGTCAGAAACTCTTCAAGTGTAGCTTCTACGTAACTACATGAAGTTTCAAACTGAGGAACTGCAAAGTAAGAGAACCCAACTTTAAATGTATTTGAAACAGTTTCCAAAATTGTTTTTTAAAAAATAATTTCAACCAAAAATGTTAACTATCATTTCAATTAACTAAAAATTAACTTTGCACTTGCTATATAATTAAAATCATTTACAACTTTCACAATGCTATTGTGGTACATACATACAATGGTATATTACTCAGCCATAAGAAAAGATAAAATACTGTCATTTGTGACAACATGGATGAGTTTTGAGAATATCATGTTAAGCAAAATTAGACAGGAAAGTCAGGAACCATATGAATTTAACTCTTATCTATAATAATAAAAGCGCAATACACAAATCAACCAAATGACCGAACAGCAGAACAACCATCCAGACAACATTCCCGATGACCATGCTATGACACGCACTGGCACCAGGCCTGCCAAGGCAGGTGTGATGTGATTGGTCAGGGGGCCTGCCATTGCCCCACAACTGCCCCACAGAGGGAGGCCCAGGCCACAAGTCAGCGGGGCAATCAATCGGGTGGCTCCACGATTGCCTTGCAAAGGGAGGCCCAGGCCACCTGCTGCAGGACAATTGATGGGGGGATGGGGGGCGCTCTGCAGAACCAGGGAGCCAGGGGGGTGTGGTGGCGGATGCGGGAAGCACCAGGCCAAGGCAGGTGCAGGTCGGGGGCGGGGCTGCGAGGCAGCGGGGTTGCGAGGCAGCTGGGGTTGCAAGGGCCTACCCTTGCACCAATTTCGTGCATTGGGCTTGTAGTATGGGATATAAAACTAGAAGCAACAAATGAACAAATAAAACAAACAAACAAAAACTCAAAGACACAGACAACAGTATGGTGGTTACCAGAGGAAAAGGGAAGTGGAGGGGAGGTATCAAAGGGTAAAGAGGATCAAACATATGGTGATGAAAGAGACTGAACTTTGGGTCGTAAATACATAATGTAATATGCAGATATATTATAGAATTGTAACTTGTATAATTTTATTAACCAATGTCACCCCAATAAATTTAATAAAAAAATTTTACACCATTGAATTAAACATTCATTTTAAAATAAAATAGTAAAATATTCTAAGATTTTTTTATAAAAAGATACAGTTTTAACCTTAGAACTAAAAACTACCCTTACTATTGGCTGATTCAGTTGTTAAACAACAAAGCCAAAAGCTCTTCTGAAAGAAAGCTTTTATTAAGATATAAAAAAGAAATCATTAAGTTATTAAAAAATATTAGAATATTTATTTTCAGACCTGGCTGACATGGCTCAGTGTTTAGCAATGGCCTATGAACCAGGAGGTCACGGTTTGATTCCAGGGCACATACCCAGGTTGGGGGCTCGATCCCCAGTGCGGGGCATGCAGGAAGCAGATCAATGATTCCCTCTCATCACTGATGTTTCTATCTCTCTCTCTGAAATATAAAAATATTTTAAAAAAATATTTATTTTCAGGATACAGTAGGAATTTCTAAATAAATAGGATTAAAAATATTAATGAAATATATGATTTGACTATATAAAAAGGTAAAAACAGTGAAGCAAAATCAGACGGCAAATAATAACATGGGAAACACATTATGTATCCTTGTAGAAACTGCATTTTTTTAACATGATCCATTCTCCTTTCTGCCAATCCTCTCTTTTTTAATGCTTAAGTCCTTAGGACATCAGACTCCAGTCAGCATCAACTGTCTTAAGAACGAAGCCTCAAGTCTGTTGACCACAGAAACAGAGCTGTGGTAAAACCAACCACACATCTTGGCCTCAGTTGTGTTTCAATCCCAGGCCCATAAAGCAGAAGAACTCCACTGACCACACCCTCACAGAGCTAGGCAGAACAACACCATGGCTGACGTCAGGACCTAACACAATGATCAACTACTCCCTACCTTGGCCCCAACCAATCAGGAGAGCCTACAACCCCAACGCCCAAAATCACCATGATTACTAATTTTCCCTATTCGTAATCTGTCCCTGTCCCCCTCCTGGAGCCAGGTTTTAGAGCACTAGCTTACCTGTGACTCTGGGCTTGTGCCATTTCCTTAAATAAATCTTTACTTTCTTTGCTGTAAACTCTTGGTCACATCTTATTGGGCTTTGATGGGTGCTGGCAAATGGACCCTTTTAGTCTGGTAAGATCAGTAACAAATACAGTACTCTTAATATGTAAGGCACTTATTTAAAAAAAACCCGCACACCTCAAAAACCTGAAAGCCTAATAATGAATAGTCAGAGAACAATTACCAGAAAGAAAATACAAACTGCCACTAAACATGAACACATGTTCAACACCACCAGCAACCAAAGAAATGTTAATTAAACTCATGAGATGTTACTTTTCACCTATCAGAAGATTGTTTTCATTTCTTTTTAACTAAATTTATTGGAGTGACATTGGTTAATAAAATTATATAGGTTTCAGCCTGCCCGGCGTGGCTCAGTGGTTGAGCGTCGACCTATGAACCAGGTCAGGGTTTGATTCCGGCCCGGGGCCTATGCCCGGATTGTGGGCTCAATCCCCAATAGGGGGTGTGCAGGAGGCAGCCGATCAATGATTCCTTCTCGTCACTGATGTTTCCATCTCTCTTTCTCCCTCTCCCTTCCTCTCTGAAATCAATCAATCTATCTATCTATCTATCTATCTATCTATCATCTATCTTAAAAACAATTATGTAGGTTTCAGGATACAGTCTATAATACATCATCTGTATGTTGTATTGTGTGTTCACCATCCCAAGCAAGATTATTTTTTGAAAAGTGCTGTCTGCAAAGAGCTGGGCCATAGTATCAGAGGTCTTTCATTCTTTCACCCCACACATATCTGAATGTCCATTAGGAGCTCAGTCCACGATGAGAAAGTGAACTTCTTCATGGGAAAAGAGACTCTGAACAGTTCATTACTGACATAACTAATCAGTTATTATAACTATGTTAAATGTTACTAAGAAATAGTAGGTGCTCTGAGATAATTTAAGAGTCACACATTTGGGGGTAGGAGAGGGAGATGTGGTCAGGAAAGACTTCCAGGAGAAAATGCTATTTGAGCTAATATCTGAAGGAAGATCTGAAGGAAGAAGAGAAATTAACTAGGTAAAGGTGGAGTAAGGGGAAAGAGGAACAGAGAGAAGCATGGCTAGACTACAGACGCAAAGGCCCTGAGGTAAGAAACAAACCTCTGGAAATACAAAAAAATGCAGAAATACTTGTTTGGCTTGAGCTCAGGAAGAGGGATTAAGCTGATGAGACAAAAACAGCTTTCTACACCAAAACAAAATTTTGACCTTTAGCTTAAAGGTAATGAGAAGCCATTTAAGGGTTTAAGCAGAGAAATAAGATGAGTTTAAAAAACAAAAACTGTCTCTGGTTTCAGTATAAGAATAGCCTAGGTAGGGAGAGCGGGAGGTGCAGTGGGACTATAGATGAGGCTACTGGGATGAGAGAAAGCAGGGTAACCCCAACTAGAAGATGGCCATGGAGAAAGAGAGAAGCAGGTTGCTACTAGATATTTAGGACACCACTTAAGAGAGGTATTCCCAAACGATTCAGAGGGTTCTTGTCTTAAGAAGCTTCATGAATATTGCTGCCACTGATGATAATGGTCATATCCCTTGACCTAGTCATGATACTTTTAGAAATCTATTCTAGAGAAATAATCACAAACTTGAACAAGATTTATTTTCAAAGTTGTTTACTACAGTCCTATTTAAAAATTTAAAACTTCAAAGCAATCTATATATCAAAATAAGAGAATTTAAAAAATACATTATGATACTATCATACAATGGAATATTAGGTAGCCATTTAAAAGTCACATTTAATGTTAAGAGAAACTGCTCAGAATAAGTAAAAAAAAACACAAAGCAGGCTATGAACATTAATACATTATTTTTAAAAGACAAAAAGGCCTATATGGACATATGTACACTTTGGTGATAGGACCAAGTGCTTTTTAATTTCTCTGGATCTTCCCATTTTTTTCAATATTCTCTACAATAAGCAATATTCTCTACAATGTTATTTTTAAAATAACATTTATTGAGCATTTACTATGTGCTAGGCACTATTCTAAATGTTTTATGTGCATGAACACATTTAATCTATTACAGAGAAGTTAAGTTACTTACCCAAAGTCACACAGTAAGCCAAAATTTGAATCCATGCAAGCTGACTCTGAGTCAGCTCTCTTATTGCTTGTGGCAGAATTGCATTTATACTCAAAGAATAACTTCAAGATTTAGTATCGAGAATATATAAAGAACTCTTTGACAACTCAACAACAAAAGACAAAAAAACAAAAACAAATCAAACCACCCAAAAGCAAAAAATATCTCAATTAGAAAATGGGCAAAGCATCTGAATAGACATTTCTCCAAAACAGATATCCAAGTGGTCAATAAGCATATGAAAAGATGCTTGACATCATTAGTCAAGGGAAATGTGTATCAAGAGCATAATGAGATAACAATTCACACCCACTAGAATGGCCAGAATAAAAAATGGAGTAAGTGTTGGCAAGGACAGAGAAATCGGACACTCATACATTGGGGTGGGAATTTAAGATGGTTCAGCTGCTTTGGAAAACAGTTGGCAGTTTCTCAAAAGGTTTAATACAGAGTTACTGTATGACTTGGCAATTCTACTTCTAGGTATAAACCCAAGAGAAATGAAAACATATGTCCACACAAAAACTTGTACATAAATGTTCATAGCAGCCTAATTTATGATAGCCAAACAGTGGAAACAACCCAGATGGGCAGAAACTGATTAATGGATAAACAAAATGTGATATATACACATAATGGAATATTATCTGTAAATATAAAAGCCTAATATGCAAATTGTCCCTGTAGAAGTTCAACTGGGAGACTGATCACTCGCTATGACGTGCACTGACCACCAGGGGGCAACGTGGAATGAAGGAAGGCCCCAGCTGGCAGCCGGAAGGCCCTGATTGGCCCTGATTGCTGGCCAGGCCTAGGGACCCTACCCGTGCACGAATTTCGTGCATTGGGCCTCTAGTTCATTAATAAAAATAAATGAAGTACAGATACCTGCTACAACATGGATGAATCTTGAAAACATGCTATGTGAGTGAAAGAAACTAGCACAGAAAGCCACAATATTGTATGATTACATTTATATGATGTGCCCAGAATAGTCAAATCAATAAAAACAGAAAGTAGATTAGTGGTTGCCAGGGACTGGCAGTGAGGTAGAAGAGAGGGTGACTGCTGAAGGGGTACTGGGCTTCTTTATGGAGCGATGAAAATGTTCTAGAATTAGATAGTGATGATGTTGCCCAACATGGTGAATATGCTAAAACCACTGTATACTTAGAGTGGTCAACTTTTCATTATGTGAATTTTATCTTAATTTTTAAAAGAACAAAATATCTTTAGTAAAAACTCAGAGAAGTTGTTACAACCACAAAGACTTTCTACTTTCTCTTATGCTTAAGTATCAACTTGAAAATGTCAAATTACTGTGATTCATCTATAAGTCTGAAAAAGATTAAGAGTTAATATCCATAGAGCACTTAGACCAGTGACTGACACAATAGCTCTCAATAACTGTTAGCTATTAGTAGTAGTATTGTATTTGGAGTCTAACCAGGATGGGGGGAAAATCACATCCTATTTCTCTCCAAATTATTGTCTTCAATGAGTGGAAGATTTATTTGACTACAATCAAGAAGGAAAAAGCACAAGCTGATTTTTATGTGGCTGCCGCTGGTCTAGCATTTAATTTTAAAAATACAGTAAAAACATTTCGGTCTGTCATGGGAATACAAGGAGAGTCTAGACACTAAAAACCAAATAATTCTATGAGATCTACTAGAAGGTTAACATGAAAGAAAGAAGCTTTGAGAAGACGGATACCTTCTTAAACTGTCTCAGTTAGTAGATATTCATAGGCCACCTCACAGCAATACTTAAAACGCTGAATTTCTAGACTACCAAACCTGCCCATATTTAAATATAAGTTAAACACACATTCTGAAGCCAGACAATGTTGTGGACTCCTTTAGATTAGAAACTATATCCTTCTCTTATATTAAGTATTCTGAGAGGTAACAATAGTTGTGCTGACTATAAGGCAAACCAATCAAAACATTACAAGTCTTCAGGGAAGAAGAGGGAGCTGGCAAAATCTAATTGCTTAAGAGAAAAAGAAAATAGCTATACATATTACCTGCAATGGAAGTCAGGCAGCTGATAAGGCAGAGAGATAAAATTTCAACCAAGACTGAGCACTATAAATAGTGCCTGAAGCCAAACATAAAAGGACACATTCTACGCAAGTCAAAAGTGGGAGCAACTATTAGATTACTATTGGTCATTTTCAGTCATGTGGGAACAAATTAATAGCAGATTAACAAATATTTATTAAGTGCTTGCCACATGCTTGAACAAAAACATTTTATACTAGAGGCCCGGTGCACGGATTCCTGCACTGGTGGGGTCCCTCAGTATGGCCTGTGAGGACTGGGCCAAAACCAGCTCTCAGACAACCCCCAAGGGGTCCCAGATTGCGTGAGGGCAGTTCTCGGGTGACGCACCCCAGAATCAGGCTCCCTCCTCTCTGGTTCTGGGTGTGTCATCCGAGAACCACAGCTGCCAAGTCACTGTAGCTCAGCAGCTCCTGCGTTGAGCATCTACCCTCTGGTGGTCATTGCATGTCATAGCTATAGGTCGGACAGGCAAACAGTCAGATGGTCACTTAGGCTTATATATATATAGATGAGGTTATAAACTATAGGTTGTTTATTCTTTAAAAAAAAAAATCTTAACACAAACTGTCCTAAAACTTCCAATAAAATATTCTCTATCTGAAAATGGTCAAAAAGAGAATCAGAAATAAAGAATTTTCTAGAGATAAAGAACACACTGCTGGGAATGTGGAAATACTATTGAAGAGACATTATTATTATGATTACTTGCGGTAATCATACCTACCTGTATCTGTACTTTTCATTCCCATCCTAAATCGTATCTGCTTGCCATTAAGGACCTTGGAAAGGTGCTCAGCAGTCCAGTGTTGTGCTGGCCAATCAAAAACCATATTACAGAAGACGGCAGGTTGCTGTAAAGACATGATAATTTCTTTTGCTTTCTCTGGTGTGAAAGGTTTGACATATTCACCTAGGAAGAGAAATAAATAGAGCAACAGATAAGTAACTATAGTTATAAATCTATACTAATAAAAGGGTAATATGCTAATTAGACTGGACATCTTCTGGACATCCTTCCAGACCAAGCCACAGTGGTGGGGGCTGAGGCAGAGGCGGTTAGGGCCGATCAGGCTGGCAGGGGAGAGCAGTTAGGGGCAATCAGGCAAGCAGGCAGAGAGGTTAGGGGTGATCAGGCAGGTAGGCAGAAAGGTTAGGGGTGATCAGGCAGGCAGGCAGAGAGGTTACGGGCGATCAGGCCAGCAGGGGAGAGCAGTCAGAGACAATCAGGCTGGCAGGGGAGAACAGTTAGGGGTGTTCAAGCCAGCAGGGGAGAGCAGTTAGGGGCGATCAGGCAGGCAGGGGAGAGCAGTTAGGGGCAATCAGGCAGGCAGGCAGAGAGGTTAGGGGTAATCAGGCAGGCAGGCAGGTGAGTGGTTAGGAGTCATGGTCCCGGATTGCGGGAGGGATGTCCAGCAGTTGAACATCCCCTGAGGGGTCCCGGATTGGAGAGGGTGCAGGCCGGGTTGATGGACCCCCCAGCCCCCATGCATGAATTTCGTGCACCGGGCCTCTAGTATAAATATAAATATCAAACAACCATAATTCATCAATGATATTTCTTATATTAAATTTTAAATGTTAGAAAATACTTACAATTTTTAACGTCAAGATTTTTTTAACCCTACCAGACCGCTGTACCGATTTTTCAGTAATTTCCGAATCTGCCGCTATACTGCTGTACCTAATTTTCGGTACTTTGCCTAGGTTCAGGGCCTCAGGTCTGGTAGACTTAAAAGGCTTTCTAACTATTTAAATTTAAAAAGATGCAATTTTTTGAAAATATTATTTTCTAAACAGAGGATAATGTAAGAAAAGCTGATATAAGCTACTCTAGAACAACCAGAATTTCTGGGGTCAGCAACAATTTTACTTGCTCTATCACATATTTATGTCCCCAAAACCAACTGAATTAATAAAAATACATCAGTCAGTGGGAAAAGGGGAATTACTTTTATTGAAAGATTTAAAAAGGATAAAAAAATGTGCTAGGAAGAGTATCAGGGTTAATCCTTGACCAGTTTGCCTCAGTGCATAGAGCGTCAGTCCATGGACTGAAAGATTGCAGGTTTGACTCTGGTCAAGGGCATGAACCTCGGCTGCAGGCCCGGTTGGGTTGTGTGTGAGAGGAAACCAATTGATGTGTCTCTCTCACATAGATGTTTCACTCTCTCTGTCTCTCCCCCTCCCTTCCACTCTCTCTAAAAATCAATGGGAAACTGTCCTTGGGTGAGGATTAACTAACTAAATAAATAAAACATTTGTAAAAATAAACAAATAATCATTGGTTTCAACTGCATTTATAAAGAGTATAGGGGCTAAGAACTGAGTACTGCAATAAATTCCACAGAATTATATAATGCTAATTCTGGATAGATAGTAAATATTAGTATTTGCTAAATAAAAGAATAAGTTTCTCTTTAAAGACATCTTAAACACACTGCGGACCAGTAGTTTTATTGCTAGCTTTACCCAGTAGCCAGATAAATTTCTATTGAACGAGTACAAAAACGTTTTACATAAATGTTAAAGGCACGCTTTAAAGTTAAATACCCATTGCATTTTGAAGTTATTTATTACATATGCTTACAAGCTAATATCTTTTTAAAGTATGATACTTTGTAAAACACTGTGTAATATGAAGCAAGAATTCTCATGATCCATCCACAATGTGTTAAGATGAAAGTGTTCTGGGAAAGGTAAAAAAAAATGCTTCATACTTTGACCCCCAAAACATATATTTATGATTCTCTGAATCAGCTAAATCGTGTATTTCAGTTACGTAATCTGTAATTACACTTAATTCAAAAAAATTTAGAAAAGCTCATAACTAATCCAAGTTCTCCCATCATCCAACTTTTTATAAACTTTCTGCTAAAAGAAGAGGAATGGGGCAGGACTCATCGAGGAACTTGAGTAACTTGTATGAATATAAGATTCACTTTTAAAGAAAATGAAAAATTAAGTCAATTTGATTTCCTTTCTTAATCAAGGGCTAAAACTCAGAATCCTTTCCTAAATCCTTGGTGAAAGTGAGCAAGCTCTAAGCCTTCAGCAGTTGACATTTAATAACAGTGTGTCACCTTCTACATAGTCAGGGCTTCCAAGTGAGGAGGAAATCGGTATGGATGCGTAGAGAGGGTAAGGGCAGGTAGAAGAGCTGGGGACTACACGGAGTGAGGAAGGAGAGACTCTCTTAGGTCTCAATGCAAAAAAAGCCCCAACTCTATCTTTATTATGTTTTTAAAATATATTTTTATTTATTTCAGAGAGGAAGGGAGAGGGAGAGAGATAGAAACATCAATGATGATTCCAAATCTTAGCTATGGGAAATTGTGCTGCTATGAACATAGAGGTGCAAATATCCTTTCTGATAGGTGTTTCTGGTTTCTTGGGATATATTCCTAGTAGTGGGGTCACTGGGTCAAATGGGAGTTCCATTTTTAGTTTTTTGAGGAAACTCCATACTGTTCTCCACAGTGGCTGCACCAGTCTGCATTTCCACCAGCAGTGCAAGAGAGTTCCTTTTTTGCCGCATCCTTGCCAGCACTTGTGCTACATCTACATAATGGAATACTATGCTACTGTAAAAAAGGAATTCTTATCATTTGCAACAGCATGGATGGAACTGGAGAGCATTATGCTAAGTGAAATAAGCCAGTGAGAGTCAGAGAAAGATAAATATCACATGATCTCACTCATTTGTGGAATATAATGAACAACATAAACTGATGAACCAAAACAGATCCAGAGACAGAGAAGCATCGACCAGACTGTCAAATCTCAGAGGGAAGGTAGGGGAGGGTGGGGGTAAAAGGGAGAGATCAACCAACGGACTTGTTTGCATGCACATAAGCCTAGCTAATGGACACAGACACCAGGGGTGTGAGGGCATGAGTGGGGGTGGGGTGGGGGGCAATGGGGGGATCAGGACACATATGTAATACCTTAGTCAATAAAGAAAAAAAAAAGAAACAAAGTACTAATACATAGTACAACATAGGTGAACCTTGAAGAAAACATTATGCTAAGTGAAAGAAGTCAGTCATAAAACACCACATATTATCTGATTTCATTGATATGAAATGTCCAGAATAGGCAAATCCATAGAAATAGAAAGTAGATTAGTGGTTGCACAACTCTAAATATACTAAAAACCAGTGAAGTATACATTTTAAATAGGTGAATTGTGTGGTATGTGAATTATATCTCAATAAAGCTGTTACAAGAAAAAAAAAAGAAACATCAATGATGAGAGAGAATCATTGATTGGCTGACTCCTGCATGCCCCATACTGTGGATTGAGATTGCAACCCCAGCAATGTGCCCTGACCAGGAATTGAACTATAACCTCCTGGTTCATAGGTCGATGCTCAAACACTGAGCCACACCAGCCAGGCCCCAACTCTACCCTTAAATGACCTTGAAGTACCCTGTTAAAGAAAACAGGATGTTATGAGGAATAAAAAAAACTGTCTATCTTTCCTTGAGATGTTTACCACTTTTGACATGTATGATAAATGCACATTTAAGGTCTGAACTCATACTGGCCTATACATACAAGGTTACCAGATTGCAGTGCACCAAATATTCCAGGACTTGTAGGGCCAGATTCCATGTGCATGGAATGGACAAGGTGCATTTTTATTATATTTAAAAACATTTTTTTAAAATATATTTTTATTGATTTCAGAGAGGAAGGGAGAGGGAAAGCGAGAGAGAAACATCAATGATGAGAGAGAATAATTGATCAGCTGCCTCCTGTCCACCCGACACTGGGGATGGAGCCTGAAACCCGGGCATATAACCTTGACTGGAATCGAACCTAGAACCCTTCAGTCTGCAGGTCGACGCTCTATCTGCTGAGCCAAACCAGCTAGGGCTATTATATATTTTTAAAGTTTTGCTAGACTATGTATGAAATGCTATTAATACATTCATAATACTGTCTCATTTGTGGCATAAAAACTAGAACTATCCTTTGAGAAATAACTGGGAAAATGAAGCAGAAGTCTCAAAGAACCACCCAATAACCTAGTAACTCAGGAATTTACTTTTAACAAAATAATTAATCATAAGATATACATTTGTAATATATGTATATACATACATATAAAATATCTACCACCACAAAATAAATCTGAAAATATAAACCTAATGTCTAAGAGTAAAATTTATAATTAAATATTTCCCCCATGGTACATATGTCCAGTAACAATAAAAATGAGGGCTATGTAGAAATCTGTAGAGTTGTAAGGACTGGAATTGACTCAGAGAACTATTGCAATAGCCAAGAGAGAAGTGTGATAACAAGGCCCTGAACAAGAAGTGGCAGTGAGGAAGGTAAAGATGGAGAAATATGCCACATAGTTCTATATACGTTAAAATAAAAATGCACATGAGATCCTCTAAGAAGGCAGATAAGGTATTTTATGACCACTACCCAAAGGAAGAAATGGAAGTTCAGATATCAAAGGGCAACACCCTGGTGGTGAACTGAAATTATAGGTCACATTCCTGATTCCAAGTCCAGTGCTCTTTCCACTGCATAATCCTGCTACCAGAGAATTAACACTGAGGGACTTACACTGACACTAAAATCTCAGGAGAGATAATATAAGCTGAAAAGATAAATAGGTGCAGAAAAGCTTTAGATCGACTCATAGATAATAAATCCATATGTGCTGTTGGGGAGGGAGGAATAGTTTGGTTTGTGCATCGTGTATGTGTTGGGGGAGGTGTTAATACCTATAGTAGAGGCTACTGGCTGCCTAACTTACCATTCTCTTCTTCCTTACTAGCAGAACTTTGGTCATTGGGAGCAGCTGAAAAATTACATTTCTTAGACTCCTTTAAAGATAGGAACGGCCAGAGATACCTCTGGAAGTTGCGAGTCATCCTTTTTGCCCTTAT